AGTGCATTCCCTCTGCCAACTAGCTGTGGGTGTACAGCCCTTCCTTGGGAACATGCTGTAACTTCCAAGTTCCTGCCTCTGTGATATCACAGAGGCCTTTTGCTCTGCAAAGCTGTGAATGGGACCATTGTGAGGGGCTGCTAGATATTTAAGATTCTAAGAGGGCTATGTTGCAGAACAGTGTACTTAAGGAGGAAAATTACATGGCTAGTTACAAAAAAATCTTCCTAAATTCCTGTTGTATGTGTCTTCTTTATTTCGAAGCAGCACTGACAAAATTGGTGTGACCCTATGAGCCCCTTTATGCCAACTGGAAAAGGGCATACCCAATACACTGTTTTCATACTATTTAGCCAAACAGTGTCTTGAAAGTATCATATAAAAACCAGTGACACTCTGGTCGTTAATATTGTTGCATAATGTATGGTTCCTGTGTAAAGGATTATGTATGTGTGCTGGAAAATGTTCCTAAAATATGTTCAGGCCAAGCAATTTGAGTAGAGAGGGTAAACGAGTTTGTTGTAGTCAAAGGAATATTGTTTTGCCTGTTTGCCTGTGTTTCCAGTGTAAACTGAGTAAGGTGAGGCCAGAGACAATGGAAGTACATTTACATCTAAGATAAACAAAGTGATTAAACCAATCAAAAAGGTAAATTGAGCAGAGGATGTGGAAAACAGCCTGGGTCTACACCCCTGCAGAGGAAAGGAACTTTGTCTGAATTTATTTTTCAAAGAATACATTTCAAAACTTTACTGTACTATACAAAGAAGGGGAGAAAACCCACCAGTTATCCATCACTTAGGGGACAGAGGGGACAGCACCCTCTGATTCCAGGAATGCTGGATCCTCTTTCCAGAAGGGCTGGAGGCTTGCAGGATGTGAGACAATTGTAGCTTGCTAAGGTTAAGTCTTAGACACTGGAAAGTATGTTTTATTTTGTCTGTTTCTAACCATTTTCTGTTTCTGTTATATCTGCTTAGTATCGCCTAGATTTCTGTTCTTTTTAAATAAACTTGTTTTTAATTTTCCTATAGACCATTTCAGTGCTGTTACAATGAATTAAGTGTGAGTCCTCAGTTAAACCAACTGGCTGGTGTGTGCACGGGCTCTTTGGAGGCAGCAAACTTCATTTCTGTAAGTGTGTCAAGGTTCCCTCCCCACTCTGAACTTTAGGGTACAGATGTAGGGTACATGAAAGACCCCCTAAGCTTATTTTTACCAACTTAGGTTAAAAATATGCTGCCACCACCAAGCGTTTTAACCAAATATTTATGGAGAGCCACTTGGAACTCTGCCTTTCCCCAAATATCTCCCAAGTCCCTAACCCCCCCTTTCCTTGGTAGGCTTGAGAATATCCCCTCACCAATTGGTCCTGGTGGACACAGATCCAAACCTTTGGATCTTAAAACAATGAAAAATCAATTAGGTTCTTAAAAGAATAATTTTATTAAAGAAAAGGTAAAAATTATCTCTGTAAAATCAGGATGGAAAATAACTTTACAGGGTAATCAGATTCAAAGAGCCCAGAGGAAACTCCTCTAGCCTTAGGTTCAAAGTTACAGCAACCAGTGGTAAACCCTCTAGCAAAAGGAACATTTACAAGTTGAGAAAACAAAAATAAAACTAATACACCTTGCCTGGCTGTTACTTACAAGTTTGAAATATGAGAGACTTGTGCAGAAAGATTTGGAGAGCATGGATTGATGTCCTAGAGCGAACACACCCAAAAACAAAGAGCACACAAACAAAAGCCTTCCCCCGCCCCAAGATTTGAAAGTATCTTGTCCCCTTATTGGTCCTTTGGGTCAGGTGTCGGCCAGGTTACTTGAGCCTCTTAAATCTTTATAGGTAAAAGGATTTTGGTCCTCTGGCCAGGAGGGATTTTATAGTATTGTATACAGGAGGGTTGTTACCCTTCCCTTTCTAGTTATGTACAGTGAGAGGGACTGGACACTACAGAGAGATGTCTCTGGAGAACTGGGGTTCACCGATTGTTGCTTGCAAGGCAAGGTAAAGACTGGCAGAGTCTTGAGGAGTTTGCTGGTGAAGCAGACAGATTGGTGTAGCGGGGAGCTGATGCACAGTCTAGTCTCCAGCAAAGCTCACGCTGACTAAGGCAGGAGGGTGACACTGTAACACTGGCTTCCAGTTCTCGCTGCCTGGAGGAGAGCATCACAATTGGGTATAAGCAGCAAAGAGTCCTGTGGCACCTTATAGACTAACAGACGTATAGCAGCATGAGCTTTCGTGGGTGAATGCATCCGAAGAAGTGGGTATTCACCCACGAAAGCTCATGCTCCTATACATCTGTTAGTCTATAAGGTGCCACAGGACTCTTTGCTGCTTTTACAGATCCAGACTAACACGGCTACCCCTTTGATACTTGACAGTTGGGTATAACTTTTCAAGGCCTGCCATGTTTTTTTTCCCCACCAGGAGCTGAGACTGAAATCTAAATCCAAATTAATGAAGCTGCTTCAAAGTTGAAGGGAGGGAGGGAAACCACAGCGGTGAGTCTCAGATCACTGGAGATTCCTGCTTCAAACCCAGTCGATGTCGAATCTCTGGACTTATTTGATTTGGGAACAGGATTTACAGTATCAGATTTGCAGATTCGCAGGGGTGGGGGTGGGAGGGACATTAAAAAATTACTAATTTCAGATATCATTTTCATCTCCCTATTTTCTTATACCATCTTTTCAAGCTGCAATAAAATTACCTGAAAACTGAATCCATCTTGAGGAAAACTCAGAGGAACTTGCACAATGACTGGCAAATTAATCTGCAAACAGCCCAACAGTTCAGTGCATCTTATTTTATTTGGTCAATATTCAGTGAATGAGAAAGGTTCAGAACACAATTTTTTCACCTATTTATTCATACTCCTTTTTTTTCAACCAAGAAAGACCCCCTTGCAATGTATTGCTCTTTTCCGAGAAGTATATTCAGACTAATTACCTTTTTTTCATTATGAAATCTTTAAGTATGGAAGTTCCTTGTGTGTTTGCAAATCAAGCTAGTCAAGACAAAGCTATTGAAGGGAGGACTGCAGCAGCATAAAGGAGATAGGAGGGAGCCATACTAAGCACCACAAATGTAAATACAACATTTTCTACAGAAGCCCTGCCTATATTAAGAAATCATTAAAGATGCTGAGCTTGAAAAGTACAAGGAGAACCCACCTGCACCTGTTGAAGAGGTGTAACAGCAGGCGTGCTGCTCTTGGGTAAGAGAGAACTAGGGGAGGAATTCTACCTGTTGTCCCTGTGGAGTGGTGCAGCTCTGTACCATTCTGTTCTAGTACCTGGCTGTGCCTTAAAGGCACAAATGTGTCCAAAGCGTAGACTGCACATGCAGCTTAAACTGTACCTCCTTGGTCTTTTATGCACTGTAGTATTTGATGATGATCGCCTACCATATTATTTCTCAAAAATCCAATATGCCATTTCCTCTACAATTGTAGATGTGTGTGGGGAATACTATACTTTTGAGTCTTGTACAATTGCATTAAATTTTGTTTTGATAATCGTGCAATAGATCTCTGGATTTGTGGCCAAAGCCTGAGTATTTGCTGTTCAGTACTTTGGATTTAGTCATTAAACTTTTTCTATGATTAAGTTCTCTTCTCTCTTAGGTCTGTATCTTAATAATTTTTTCAGCAAACATGTACAATATACATTTAAGAGGAGTTACTTTACTTTTGCAGACAGCTATACCGATGTACAATAATTTATTATGTTAAAATGTCAGATGCTGTAACTCAGAGAAACTCCCCACAAATGTCTATGAAAGACAAAGTCAACTTGAAATGTGGTCATTTTTAAAACAAAATGAATTTTAAATAGTTACAAGCACGGCTGCTCCTTTTGAGCCCCCCTGGCAATTTTTGTGGCTTTATAATCACAATTTTAATATTTTTAAAATATTTTTGTGCTCCTTTGTTGCTGTGTGAGAGACCTGCACAAACAGGGGAAGTGACTGGCTGACAATAGAGGGGAAACCATGAAATTGACTAAACACTAACTAGTGTCAAATGTGAAAACAAACTGGAAAAAGTAGAGGAAAAAGGTATTTTGTCAAATCTCTTTCAATTATAGTAATCTTATTAGAATAATATAGTAACCTTGCATTCTTTCTTGTAATAGTAGTAAGTATTACTATAAGTTGTCAGTGTCCCTTTAACAGTATATGGGCCAGCGCACCAGCTGGTATATTTCCCTGACTTCAATGGAGCTATGGCAGTTTACACCAACAGAGGATCTAGCTGTCTATTTTAACAATTTCTTGTTTGCCTGTTACCCATGTAGAAATAGAACTATTTTTGTATTTTTCATGTGACAAATTCTCACTATCTCACAGCTCCATTGTTACCTTCTCTGAAGGAAAAAAATACATGTTGTTATACTGTATTGTTGTAGAAATGACCTGGAGCATTTGAAATCTGAACCTGGATCCAAATTTTGCAACTGGACCCTTTTCTTATATGAGCTTAACCAAAACTTCAAACCCAAACACTTCTGAAATTTGGGGTTTCAATCTGGATCCAGATTTGAATTTTGTGGTTTAACAATCTCTGAATTATATGTTTTTTACATGCTCAAAGCCTGTATAATAAAGTGTGTATACCTTGCTTCCAGCTTGTGCTCACAAGTAAGAAAAAATGACTCCCACACCTTTCCCAAGAATCCCCTTGTTGCAGACTACAGCTGGTCAAAAAATTCAAAATTTTCAATTAGAAACATATTTTTTTTAGCAAAAGAATGCCTGTATTTTGAGCAGCTCTGTAACTGGTTGAAAAAATTCAAAATTTGACATCTTTTATGGAAAAAGAGAGACTTTTTTGCAAACTTTTTTTTCAACCAGCTCTTTTGTGGACATCCAAATCAATTCTAATTAAATAAAATATTTTTAAATTGCCCATTTATATCCTTATCATTGTTCTGTGTAGTGATGTGAAAAAGCGAGTGTGACATATAGAAAGTGAGAGGCAGGACTAAAGATGGAAAAATGTTGGGTGTTTTTGCAAAATGTCATCCTCCAACTTTTGGAAGCTCCGGTGGTTTGCGTCTGGGTCCTATTTTATCTGAAGGTCCTCAGCTCAGAGATTTTTGCATAAATTGTTTCAACTGTAGCTCATCTCTGTTACAAATAAGTGGAAGAGCAGTTTTGTTTTTTCAAATCCTATTTGGGTGGCAAACAAGAGACATGTACCATAGACTGAAGGAGATTGTTTGTTTAACCAATTTATTAGCCAGTGCACTGTATCTCCACATAGATGGTCTGTTAAACAACCTGCACCTCTATTACTGCTTAATGTACCAGGCATGATACCTATGGGGTGCTGCTATTCCAGTGGAAGTGACATGTTCAATGTTCAGTACCCCTAATGCTGTGCATTTTGCATAACCAAGCTTTCCTCCCACTTTTCCCCTAAACATTTACATATGTTTAAAGTAACTTAGCGACAAATTACAACCGTCTCTTAAAAATTATGAGAGTTCTCTGATCCCAGTGTGGCTGCCAGCTTGGCAGTGGGTCCTACAGCTGATACCGAAGAAATAGGGAAAGTAGTCATGCATTGTAATGCCTCCCAGAACCCCCATCTGTACACTGTAAACTGGTGCAAAATCTCTGCCGTACTGCATGCTCTTCCCACATTTGTTCCCAAATGTATAGTTGGCACCAAGAATCGCACCAGCTAGTGCAACTGTCTTTCATCAGCTGCTTTGAGGCTGTGATTTTTTTTGTTGCCATCTGGATGTGATTTTAGAGCATGACACAAGCCTGAAAATGCAGTCATGCAACCGTTAGCTTCTTTTCTCTCTCTGCCATGCACATGCACAATTACAAAAGTTACATTCCTTTGCTACTCTGATTCCTTTGTTGAGAAAACATGATGTACTCTTGTGATTATTTATTTTAATCATTGCTATTTGTTTTACAGTAGAACCTAGAAGGCCCAGATGAAATCGGAGCCGCACTATGCAAGGCTGCCTACAAACACATGGTAAGAAACAGTTCCTATCCCAGAGAACTTGTCATCTAAATAGATGAATCAGACACATAGCAAGAGGGAAAGTGACTTGTCCGAGGTTACACAGCAGGCCAGTTGGAGAGCCAGAAACAGAGCCTAGATTTCTTGAATCACTAGTCTAGTTCTCTGTCTAATGGGACACACTCCATCGCTGTTATTTATTATTTATATTGTGGTACGACTCAAATGCTCTAATCAGGGTTAGGTCCTCATTGCTCTAAGCACTGTATGAGCACAGAGGAAGAAATGGTCCCTTTCTGAAAGAGCTTAGAGTCTAAGTGCTTATGTACACAGGAAGGTTGCACCAGTTTAACTTAAGGTGTGAGTTTTGAACTGATTTACCTGAACTGGTGTGGATACTCTTTAACCACGTTTCTTTTGCTTTGGCGTAAGTTGATTAGGGTGCAGTTTAAACTAAACCAAAATAAGCCATTTTAAAACTGAAATAAGTGTGTCCACCCGAGAGTTTACTCCAGTTTAACTAAATTGGATTTAAAAAGATTTTACGTTAAATTAGCACAACTTCTGCATGTAAATAAGGCCTAGGTATGTGTAACTTTACTCCCAAGAGTAGTCTCAGTATTGGTTGCAGGACTGAAACCTAAAAAGACAAGACAAAAATGATACAACACTGGACAATCAACAAACAAGCAGAATGTGGTGATGTTAGGGTCTCAACTTGTCTTTTGCCTGTTCACAAACAGGTTGTGCCCTAGCCTTACATTGACTGTGCAGGGCAGTAATAACTTGCCTCTGATATAATACTCTTCATCAGTAGATCTCGAGGCACAAGCACTGACTTTCTTCTGTCTGAGTGGCTGCTGCACTCCTGCTCCACCCTGAGGCCCCACCCCACTCCATCCTTTCCCCACCCTCGCCCCATCTCTTCCCACCCCTGCTCCACCCTCTCCCCCGAGACCCCACTCCTGCCTCACTTCTTCCTGCCCCTGCTCCGCCTCCTCTCCCGAGCATGCCCTGTCCTTGCTCTGCCTCTTTCTACCCCTGTTCCGCCCCCTCCCCCCAGCACCTCCCGCCCACCACCGAACAGCTGATCGACAGGACTCACCACACAGCTGATTGGCGGGTGGCTGGTGGGTGCTGAGCACCCAATAATTTTTTTCTGTGGGTGCTCCATGGTGCTCCACTCATGGAGTTGGCGCCCATGTCTCAAGGCCCTTCACAATCTTTAGTGTATTTATTCCACAGCACCCCTATGAGGTAGAGAAGTGCTATTGGCCACATTTTACAGAGCGGGAACATCACTGTACTTTATGTATGATCTAAGGTCATACATGAAATCTGGGGTAGAGCAAGGAAATGAACGCAGGTCTCTCAAGTCCTAGCTTGCAGTAGACCTGCCTGGATCCTGTGTCCAGGGAGAGAGAGACAAGCAGGGGCTCTGCTGGGAGGGGACTCAGGGGGCATTAGAGCAGTCAGCGTCAGGACTCCGCCTCTTTCTCCTTTCCCCACTCATGCCCATACTGCGCCCCAGCAGAGGTGACTGGATGCAAAGGGCAGAATACACTGTGTCTTGTAAATGGCTGGTGCAAGATCCCTGCAGTGGAAAATGGAAGCTCCAGAGGAATTGAGATTCCAAGATGACTCTGAGACACAACTATTTCCTGGTGTTGTTCCATATTCAGGATTGAACCTAATGACACAATCTAACCCTATTTTAGTTTGCCTTTAAACCTTGTGTATTTACTAGCTTTCATTTTGCTCTAACGTGTGCATTTTTATTTGAATTTGTTTTGTATTCTTAAAATCATTGCCTATTGTCTGATTAAAAATCAATTTTCTTTACAACCCGCATCAATTTACTATATTAAAAAAAACCTCCTGTTTTCCATTTGTTGATTTTATCATCTTTTCCTTATTCTGAGTTATGACCTCATGGTATAAGAAACATTTCTTCACTGCATTGTGGGAATGTGAAATCTCATTCATTTCTGCTTTTCTAGATCATAGGAACATAACCTGTGTAACCAGGGAGCAACTATTTCTGAGGCCTTCAGACAAAAATAAGCAGCAATTCTGTTTATCATTTTTCAGAGTAACAGCCGTGTTAGTCTGTATCCGCAAAAAGAAGAACAGGAGTACTTGTGGCACCTTAGAGACTAACAAATTTATTAGAGCATAAGCTTTCGTGGACTACAGCCCAAGAAGTGGGCTGTAGTCCACGAAAGCTTA